CGCACCCTTACCCTTCACCTGTTCAAGGCAGCGCCCCGCTCGGTGCCGCACCCTTACCCTTCACCTGTTCAAGGCAGCGCCCCGCTCGGTGCCGCACCCTTACCCTTCACCTGTTCAAGGCAGCGCCCCGCTCGGTGCCGCACCCTTACCCTTCACCTGTTCAAGGCAGCGCCCCGCTCGGTGCCGCACCCTTACCCTTCACCTGTTCAAGGCAGCGCCCCGCTCGGTGCCGCACCCTTACCCTTCACCTGTTCAAGGCAGCGCCCCGCTCGGTGCCGCACCCTTTCGCCTCACCTATTCAGTGCGGCACCGCGCTAAGTGCCGCACCGTTGTTGATCATAACTGCGATCACCGCTGCCGGCCGGTTCATCTCGTGCCGATCGTCTGTTTCATCTGAAGAGTATAGCTTGTAGTGGTGAGCCATGCACGAGACAATGATCGCCTTGATGAAAGCCGATGAACTGGCCCCAGAACAACAACAAAGGCAGTGCAGCACTCGTGCGGCTTGGCATTGGGTTTGCTCAACATTCGGTCTCAATAGAGCAGGGTTCAGTTTTGCTACCAGATGTGCACAGCAGCTCCCCCGGAAGCTGAATGGACAGCAATCCGTCCCATACATTGGACGCAGTGATGTGATCGCTGCTGTTCGTGCTGCTGAAACCGCCAATCCCATCAAGGAATCAATACGGAAACTATACATATAGAATGTGCTGTGGACAACGCAATTTGGAGGTAGCAGTAAATATAAGGAGTCCGAAGGTATTACTTTCCGGTGCGTGGGCGTTTTCGTCCGCCTGCAGGTGCGGGTCTGGTATTGCCAGCGGTAGTCGACGCTAACCGGCAAATGGAAAAGTGATGCCGCGGGGCTGAATTCTCAGAATAAAAGATTGTGAGCGCGCACGGTCAAACTCCTTTGATTTCTAGCAATCCACTCCGGAAAAGGTGCACGTCGCCGAGCGAAGATATGGTGGAAATACCACTGACACGTGTTGTTTATCAGCCATCGATTTGAAAGTTTTTGATGAAATAGTTAACACAGCACCAAATAGCTAAAAGCAATTCGCTAAGGCGGTGTTTTTTCTGCAACTACAATTTACAAAATTGCAAACATTGGCAGGAAAAGAGTAGCTAAAAAAGTATTACCTACTAAAAAAACATTGGTGGAGAACCCCATTCTGTCAAGCATGAGTGCTTCTTGGTAAGACTCACGTACGTCACAGGCGTAAAGCAGCACCTTCCGGAGCAACAGGCTGGCCTTGCATCTATTGTGAAGGACTCGTGCCGCATCAGACGCACTGGCTTCTCGCGGAAGCGGAGCGGGTCGAGATCTCCTTCCGAAATAAGGCGCAGCATCGACCTGCGCAGCATCACCGCCAAGGTGGATGTGTGCAGTGAAATAGATACTGACGGGCCAGAGCGCATGCGCGCCCGGAGCCGGCCGTTTGGATGTAAGCAATAAACAGGCCAATGTGCCCTTCTCAGGCCTAGGGGCCAGCCTAGACAATGGACGTGACAATCACATCGCCATCCAGCGAGTTGTTGTCAAAAAAGTTCCTAAAGGATAAAACTTCGCCTCATTTCAGATGTCTTTTGCGATAGAAGTTTCATATTCTAAATCCGTTTGTTCAGCTCTACGCAAACCTAATAAGCACGTAATAAAGGGAGCAAAGCAAAAACAGCTATGCTTGAAAGGCAGCGACAAAACCGCCCGTACAAACGAACTTCTTGCTGGGCGATGACGTGGCGAGGCGTTCGTCGCAGGCCTTCAATGGCTACGACCTCGAAAACAAGTTGGAGAAGCACCCAAGAAATTCACACACACCCGCCAAGATTTCCAGATCACCGAGACGCTGCAAAGCAATCGTCCTGTTGGAGCTGAAAAACCTAAAAAAGAAGGATAAAACGTTACCGGCGAAGAGCACGGTCTGTCTGTTAATTACGGAAAGAGCCACGGAAAACTACAGGCAACCTGGACCATGCTGACGTTAGTCTACAGAGGCGCCGCAGAGTTCAGGGTCCGCACCAGCCATCCGAGCAGCGCGTTTTAGCAGCAAGAAAAAACTGAACGAAAAGGCTACGGATATATCCCTACAGATAAGACAGTGTTAATAGCCTTACTCGTCGTAGAATAATCAGGGGAATGAACGGATAGATATATCATTATATCTATGCAGCAAAACAAATACCACACACGCACACACACACACACACACACACACACACACACATATATATATATATATATATATATATATATATATATATATATATATATATATATATATATAGATGTCCGTGGATCGCCATAAATCGACCCAAAACCGCAGGGCCGTTGCCTTCTCCACGTCACTCGTGTGTGAGCCTGCAGCACAGGGCAGCAGATGCGTGGTACCTTGTCGTCAGCATTCCGAGTAAAAAGACACGCGAGCTGCTGCAGAGGCATAGAGCTGCTGCAGAGACACACGAGCTGGTACAGAGACGTAGGAGCTGGTGCAGAGGCACAGAGCTACTGCAGAGACGTACGAGCTGGTACAGAAACGTAGGAGCTGGTGCAGAGGCACAGAGCTGCTGCAGAGACATGCGAGCTGGTGCAGAGACATACGAACGGGTGCAGAGACGTACGAGCTGGTACAGAGGCATACGAGCTGGTGCAAAGACGCACGAGCTGGTGCAGAGACAAACAAACTAGTGCAGAGACAGACGAGCTGGTACGGAGACACACGAGCTGGTGCAAACATACAAACTGGTGCCGAGACGCACGAGTTGCTGCACGATTCCGGGGCGTAGAAACGCATCGAGGCAGGGCTGCACCCGGTGCTGGAGGTTGACAGCAGGTAACTGCGCACCGAATACCAACTACTCTTGCTCTGACCTCCAGCCGCTCTTGAGCTACCTCGATTACCAAAATGCAAATGCGCGTAATGCATGTGCATGCCGCAGCTGCAGCAAGGATAGGCGGGGACAGTGCTGCCATACTGGGCGATGAATGGTCCGATTACGCATGCCTAGCGGTGCCGTCACCACTCCGACCTCGCAGCCCGATTATCTCGGCCATGTCACGGTGGATGATGTATGGCCCAACGATGCATACCCCCAGCATGCCCAGCCCGCTTCGCAGCCTGACGATCTCGGCTATAAACAGCCGGTCTGTCTAAGTTGTCCCGACACGAGATTGTAGTCGGTGGCACCTGCGCATTCGCATGACACCTGCGCATGCACGTGACAAACCAGCTGTGTGTGTGTGTGTGTGTGTGTGTGTGTGTGTGTGTGTGTGTGTGTGTGTGTGTGTGTGTGTGTGTGTGTGTGTGTGTGTGTGTGTGTGTGTGTGGTGTGTGTGTGCGTGCGTGTGCGTGCTCGGGACGTGAGCGCCAATAGGGTGAGAACAGAGTGTGCATAGACCATAACTAGAGTGTCAATAGATTGTAAAAAGAGCGTAAATCGAGTCCAAGTAGAATGTTTATGGACTGTACCAGAATAGTTCTAAGCGGCCAGGATAAACCCCCGGCGTTGATTGGAGTTGCATTTCAATATGGTTAGTAAGGATGGATTGCTTGCCAGTGCGTTTTGGGATGTTACTTTCAAGTACATCCGTGTGTGCCTGTTGATGTACTTTTAAGAGGGAAGCATATGTGATGCAATGATTTTTCATGCCTCTGAGATTTCTACGAATGAACTGGCTCCGTTCGAACTATTAAAGTGATAAGAAAGTCCTGATAAGACCAGGAGAGTACAGGACCTGAGGTGACCGATCATTTGGTAGATGTTTCCTGAGTGCCCGATTGCGACCCCTCTCCTCCCCCCCCCCTCACGCACCGCCTGGTTTGATACCTTAGACATACGTAAATGGCACCAATCGAAAGAGAATCAAACCCTGCAGGAATAATAATTGATACCCGTGATGCCCGTCGTGAAACAAGAAGGTACGAGCTAACGAAGTTGATGACCACCTTTTGCAATGCTTTTCCTCATGCTAGGGTGACCGACTTAATACCATTCTTCTCCACACCCGCCCCCGCCCTTGTGCCACCTGAATCTTATCGACTGATGCAGTTACTTTACTGAATACGAATGATGCTGAGACGGGGAAGATTTTTACCACGATACTCGTGATGCATGCCAACAGTTTTTTTTCAAGGATATTAATTTAGGCATTGCTTTAAAGTTTTACCTGAAGATCGTTTCTCTGTTCATTATCATCTACAAGTCAATTCTTTAGTTCAATTTTTGGCCTCAATTCGAACCTAATTTGACATTTCCTATGGCCACGCAAGGTCGTGAATAGCTCGCAAATCTACTTTGGCCATATTTTGGGCGCCACTGAGGGGGCACAAACTCAGCATAAGAGCTTTGTGCTCATAATGTCTACACTTTGTGGTACTATGTCTACGCATTTAGTTATTTCTTTATTCAACGATGGCTTTAGAAAACGAAGCATTTGTGGAGTACCGTTTCATGTAACATACCTTTACGTTTAAGCATCATATCATTAATGCGCTACATGGCTGCTCTAGAAAACCATGTTGTGGTTTGTAAAGGACCTGCAACTCGCAATACAAAAATGTAGTACTTGAGACTTGGCTTGTTTCTCTGGTGTGACGTTGGTGCCAATCTTACCTTTCAGATCTGACCATGGCAGAGACGCTTCATGTCTGGGGTAGCGCACATGAGTGTCTGGGGTAGCGTACATGAATGTCTGGGGTAGCGGACATGGGTGTCTGGGGTAGCGCACATGAGTGTCTCGGGTAGCGCACACGAATGTCTGGGGTAGCGCACATGAGTGTCTGGGGTAGCGCACATGAATGTCTGGGGTAGAGCACATGAATGTCTGGGGTAGCACAAATGAATGTCTGGGGTAGCGCACATGAATGTCTGCGTTACGCGAATGGTCAATCCGATCTTTTGACACGATGGGGACTCATCGTTTCGCTGCTAGCCACCGGATGACAACGAGCATTATTACTGCATGCTACCCGCAATGAAAGTTGCATGCACGCAACCTGTTCATTACAAATTCGTTTTATTCAAACATAAACCGGAATTGCGAGGTGTGTCCACATTTTGGCACCACAAAAGCAAGCCCAACAACCCTTCGCCTCATTTTGCTTTCGTTGCACTGGTAGCGTGATCAATGCGAAAATGGTGAAATATTCTTCCCGCCAGAATCGTCTCTGAGCAATACGCCTCATGTTGCAGCTAGATTAGCACTTCTAGACAATGTTTTTCCGGAAGATCACGGTTTCGGGTCATCAAAACAGAGCTACTCCCCCCCCCCCCCCCACCCCTCTCAACAATACGTCGGTCCAGGACCGAACGGGTCGGGCTAATCCAGACCCAGACGTCTTGTGGCCCGGTCGATGGCAGACTCCCTCTTCTTCGGCTTCGGAGGTGAGTCCTTCTTGGTGGTCTGCGAGCCGCCAGACACGGTGACCTCGGAGGAAACATCACCGACCTGCCGGAGCAGCGTCTAGGTCATCTGCTGAGTCAGGGGCAGGGCCAGGGTCAGCTGTCGAGTCAGGGGCATGGTCGGGGTCCACTGCTGAGTCCGGGGCAGGGCCAGGGTCAGCTGCTGGGTCAGGGGTAGGGAAAGAGTCCTCTGCCGAGTCAGGGGCAGGGCCAGGGCCAGCTGCTGAGTTAGTGGCAGAGAAAGGGTCCTCTGCCGAGACAGGGGCAGGGCCAGGGCCAGCTGCTGAGTTAGTGGCAGAGAAAGAGTCCACTGCCGAGTCAGGGGCAGAGCCAGGGTCAGCCGCCGAGCTAGTAGCAAAGAAAGAGTCCACTGCCGAGCCAGGCGCAGAGAAAGGGCTCACTGCTGAGTCAGTGGCAGGTGCAGGGTCAGCTTTTGAGTCATGGGCAGAGAAAAGGTTCGCTGCTGAGTAAGGAACAGTGCTGTTTTACAGCGGCGGAAGGGCGCACAACCACCAAGCTGCTCGCCAGCCTCCGAGATCGGATGTCCTCACTACTAGTCTCACCTCGGGTCCCACCTCGGGTCCCACCTCGGGTCCCACCCTAGATCCCACCCCGAGCCACACCACAGGGAGTGGACGAGGAGGACGTACCGAGGAGCCGAGCTGCAGGTCGCCCTGCGAGGTGGACTCCTTGGCCGGGCCTGATGTCGAGCCCGACTCGTGGATACCTGTAGCAGTGCGTCACGCAAATGTCACGCACAGGTCACGCGAGCAGATCAACGCCCTCGATCACGGATGTAAAAGGTCAGTGAGGCAGAACACCGAAAAGCGATAGAAAAAGTATAACGTGTCATATTCCCATGAGCATTGCAAGCAAGTGCATTTCATTAGACGCACATGCTTTCCGATCCGCCCGTACCAAGCAATGGAGACATCAAAACGCGTGGTAGGGATGTAGCCAAGAGTGGGTGGGTGGAAAGCACATGTCCCCGCTCCTCAGCCAATTACTTTACACAAGTAACTGCACAATTTCGCAGGAATTCTGTTCAGATTCGCAGTATTTCGGAGAAGTTTGACATTCCCCCGCCCTGCGAGCAGAATTCTGGTTACTGGGCTGGAACGGGGACGCTTGAAATAACAGCAGAGTTAAGGTTGGGACAGTGGACGGGACCTGCTGTGAAACAGTGACAGTATTTCAGGGAATTGTTGAGTAAATATGACAATCACCAAAATGTCCCATATCTATACTGGAAAATGCACTGTCAATATAATACAATGCTAATATCTAAATGTCCACTATAACGCCATACAAACAGTTAAATACCAATGAACAATACCATTGCTCAAAGCCAATACCCAATCTCCGTGCTATAAGCTTTGGGAACGAAAATATTGGCATCACAAATCGCGCAGTCTCCGCGCTCGTGTTTTGCGACTTCCGTCAGTTCTCACAGCTGCATTATACAGAACAATATCATGGTCAGTGGGGTGCTTAGGCGTACCTCCGCGCATCATCTACGAGCATCTAGGCGCATCTAGGCGCATCATCCAAGTGCCATTGGGATTTTCGGTGTCGGCGAAGGCTCGTGCCTATGCCTGGCAGGAACTTACGCTTTCACGTCTTCCAACCAGTAATCATACGACATTCTGGCAAACGTCAGCGGGCAGGAAAAAAATTACCGTGCAGAGAGCACGAAAAACCACGCCGAATCGACCGCCTGAGGCACCAAAAGCCCAAGCTTTCCGCTCGCCGGCTGAGATTCTGCGCCAGTCTGAAGCGTCGCCTCGACATTTCGCTGCGGCGTTGCCAAATTGGACAGGGAGACGTGCCTCAGATCTGACGCCCGAAAAACACATGCATTGCACCAAATGTGCTGAACAATGCATGATGGTGATTAAGTAAGTTGAAAGAGGATACTTTTCACTCAGAAGCATACTTAGCATTCAGCACCGTGGGAAGTCACGTCGCTTGCTTTGAAGGTGTTGTTGATAGGCTTAGCGAAACATGCCTATATCGGAAGGTCATTGCACCTCCAATTCCAAGCGCAACACATAGCCACATCCAAGCACGGTCTGTCCGCTAAAGGCAATGCCAATGTGGTCAAGGTGTAAAATTGTGCACCCCTGCCGAAAAGTTCTTGCAACGGCACTGCAGCACTGTCCTCAACACAATCTCGAAACCGATAGCTATTGGCCACATTTTGGAACAAACACCAATCCCAAAACTGCTTCTTGTTATCCCATTACATCCTAGCGCTCCAAAGCAGGCGTATCCGTCACGAGATCTATCCCAGGGTGCCGATCCAGGGTGGCGTCCGTCCACGCCACAGCCGTCTCCAGACCCGACCAGCCCTCGTCCGCGCGGATGAACTGTCCCGCGACCGCGTCCAGTCCAGCCCACGACGCCAGCCCCGCCCTGGTCACGAGCGTGGCGTCCGCCTCCCCCCTCCCCCCCCCCCGGCCGCGCGCCCCACAGCGTCCGAGGACGGCTGACGTGACGCGTGACGTGACGCGTGACGTACCCTTGGCGTCGCCGTCGGGGGCGACAGATGTGGTCATGCCAAGGGTGCCGGTGTTGGTGCCCTTGTCCGAGTGCCCGTCCGTCTTGATGATGGCCGTGGTGACGGAGATCTTGCCGTTCTTGACGGCGACGCTGCCGACCAGGGCCGTTCCTGCCGCAGCGCCGCCCCACCGCCGTCACCACCGCTCGCGGCCATCTCATCACGGGGCATGACGTCACAGGATACTACGTCAAGGGGTACTGCGCCACAGCTAGTAAGGTGTCGTGCTATATCAGGACATGCCATGTTATATCAGGACGTGATGTTTTACATCAAGACGTGACGTATGACTTCAGGACGTGACGCATTCCATTAAGGCGTGACGTGTTGCATGATAACGTGCTATGCCGACATGAGTTACGTCGCGGCTTGGCACATGTAACAACACCATACCACAAGGTGGAGCAAAGCTGCAGTTGATAGACCTATTAATTTCCACACCCGTTTGCAAATGAATGCATAAGATAGCGCCGTGTTAGTTTTACAGCGTAATCGCTTAAAAGCGATATAAATAACAATATATTCCACGATGTGCAAATTCAGCGACCGGTGATGGCGCAATGGTGCGACAGTGTGGCATCGCTACCATCTAACAGTGTTGCAACAGCATCACTAACAGTTTTAAATTTACCACCGAATCCTCTTCCCCGTTTATCACAATAACGTAACGCACCTTGCAGAGGTGCACCAGTGTCTACACACCACCACTACTGTCTGACACCACTGTACACCATTGTCTGGCAGTAGTTAACGGCGCGACGGTGACCTCCGCCACAGTGTCTGCTTGGATCAGGCTGACTTTATGGTGCGAGACCCGAACCAAACGTTTTCGACGGGAATGGCGCACCGCCCAACGGCGATTGCTCCCATTCATCTCATGCCCTCTCTTATAATATGTCCACCACATCGCCCTCAGGGGTCATCGGGTCTGTCCCGGGGTCATCTTTTCCGCCGAGGGGGTCAGCGGGTCAGCCGAGGGGGTCAGCGGGTCAGCCGCGGGGGCTCTGCTCACCGTCGGAGCCGGCGCCAGAGCCGTCGGTATTGGATCCACCGCCCACCACAGACAGGCTGCCCGAGAGACCGTCCGGGCCGGCGTCACCCTTCCCGGTGGCCAGCACTGTGCTGCTCGACGTCTCCTCGCCCTCGGGCGTGCTGTGGAGGTCGCAGGGGTCATGAGAGGTCACAGACGTCGTAGGGGGTCACGGGACATTACGATGGCCTATTTTGAGGTCATCGGAAGTTCAGCAGTCTGATGTCGATGATGTGTCTGCTGATGTGGATGACGGTGACACATGCATGGTGATGTGAATGATGGTGTGATGTGTCGACACAAGATGCCGCGTGAAGGTGCGCACACCCGCCGACTTTCGTCACAAGGTGTCACTGGCATCATATGCGATCACACGAGGTAGTGAGAGGTGACGCGATATCATTCTGACCGCGCAAATGCAGGTTGATCGTGCAGATAAGGTCGCATGACGTTACTTGGGGACACTTAAGCTCACTTGAAAAAGCATTTGGTTATTTCGGGCCATTCCAGATAGCATGTCATTAGAGCCTGAATCCTGGATCTGGACGTGCCTGGATCCTGAGGAGGGATCCATGATTCCATAGGGTTCCATGTCAATGGTATCATGAGATCGGATCCTGCGATCTTTTTTGAAAATCAAGGCATGGGCACCAGAGGTCATGTCGCAATACATGCCATCACTGTTTTGCATCAGTAACATAGGAGCAGGTCAGGTCAGGTCACAGAAACAGCCTCGAATCCTTTCGATTGTTGACGATTGCCCCATACGGACACTCGGAGAGCTGATATATATATATATATATATATATATATATATATATATATATATATATATATATATATATATATAGATGCAAGTATGTTGGAATATTTCAGCAGAATCCTTTCTTTAAAACATGCTCGATGAAAAAACACTGCTGGCTCAGCATTGACGAGCTTTTTGACGCATCGTTCTAGTTTCCGGGCCTTTCACTTGGCGTCATCGCTTAGATTACGGATAGTTTGCACAAAATTACTCATATAGTTATCGCTCCTTACACTCTAACGTTTCGAAATCCTATCTCATCGTCAGAGGAGACTAAATGGCACAAGAAATAAGTTACCGCTAAGGATAATGATTATCTTCTAGCTCTTCCAAACTTATTTTGTGGGCTATTTAGTATTCTCCGATGATGAGATAGGATCTCGAAACGTCAAAATGTAAGGAGCGATGAATATATGAGTAATTTTGTGCAAACCATCTTTAATCTAAGCGATGATTCCAAGTCAATGGTCCGGAAACTAGAATGATGCGTCAAAAAGCTCGTCAATGCTGAGTCAGCAGTTATTTTGGAGGACACCCTTACCCGGCTGCGGAGGTGAGGACTGCCTGTGTGGAGGACGGTCCCGGTGCCGAGATTTCTGTCCGCTTGGCCGAATCCGTTTTGCTCACGCTCTTCCCATCCTTCGTGCTGTTCTGGATATCCGCCCCGAGCTTCTCGAGCACGGACAACACCAGGTTGGCCTGCTCACTACCAGCCGGTGCTGAAGTCAACGTCACCGCTCAGGTCACCACGTCACACTCATTACGTCACACTCATTACGTCACACCCATGTCCGCCCCGAGCTTCTTGAGCACGGACGTCACCAGGTCGAACTGCTCATTGCCAGCCGGTGCCGAAGTCAACGTCACTGTTCAGGTCAGCGTCACACGCAATACGTCATACTCATTATGTCACATGCATTACGTCACATTCATATCATTCGTCATCCTCCGCTGATCACAGAATTCTTCCAATGAAAGACGATGGGACCAAATCTGTGAAAAAAATTGAACACGCAGTTTCCATTTGATAGCAGCGAATCGGCTAAGCTTACTGTTTACCTATCCATTACCCTTGAACGGGTGACCTCGTTATGTTGGCGCCACGTATGACAATGTGACCTTGAAATACTCTCCCCGAAATGCTCTCCCCATTTTTACGGGCCTGTGGCTTAGCAACTAGAGGGGTTTAGGTCTTAGAAGCCCAGGGCTGTGAACTACATCGACAGGTCTTTAAGATGGCTATTTCAGTTCAAAACCCCATACAAATGTGGAACACTTCCTTTAACGTGTAAAAAGCAAACCAATGAAAAATGGTGATAGGAATGATTCATTCCCGGTTAATGCTGCTATGACGTCCCTGTGACATTTCAAAAGGTCACCAAATGTAGCCAGTGCGAACAACGGCGGCTGGCCGGTAACAGCACTGCCCAACCAATTAGTTGATTCAAGAGCTACAAACCAGCTTTGGTCGATGCATTACAAGCCGTCAGAAGAATGGTCATACCACGTGACATACCACGTCATACCTGGCCACGTGACATCCATGCGTCCACGCGCTCCACCCGTCAGTCAGGCAAGCCTGTTGACAGGGTGCGGCAGACATGTCGTAGCGCAGTCATATGCAGGTTGTTATGAAATTGTGAGTGCGCCGTCAGTCAAGCTCATATCTGCTCACGCGCACGCGCGCGCGCGCACACACACACACACACACACACACACACACACACACACACACACACACACACACACACACACACACACACACAAACACACGAGCTTTTGAGAAGTTGTCTTTGTATTTCAGAAAAAAAACATTCTTAGCATTCTTACAGTGGTGTGCTGGTCGATGTGACTAGGCCGGTGCCGGTATGCACAAGAAGAACGCGGCAGTCGCGGCCATTTGCTGTTTGGTTGGTAGCGACAGTGGCGCCGCGTAGTGGCCAAAGAACGCAAGAGGGGATTTACTCCAGTAATGGTGAACGCAGCAGAAGTCTGCACACCAGTCTGCACAGTGCCGCGCGCTGGACAAATACTGCGGAGCTTCCCACGGCTATTTCACCAGTAGCGCTGACCAGCCGTGTACTTACGGGTTCCCATTTGGTGCCTAAACAACGGGAGAGGGACAACATGTCCGATGAGTCACGAATGCATCGCGATGACGCAAGCCACACTCGATGTGGCAAAATTGCCACATTCCTGCCATGTGAAGCGCGCCATGTGACGCTATTATTTTGATTCCATCACACTTAAAATTGCGCTTTGATGTCACTCGGACTTGCGGACTTTGAAGTTTAGCATGAAGCGCAAATTGGAGATTTGACGTATTCTGCGCAGAAGACATTGTCATTCAGACGTCAATTCCCTGTCCTTGTTGGTGCACTTCAACGCAGGTGCGTAGCGTGACATATGCGCCGGTAAACTAAATTACAGTTAATGACAGAGAACGTGAAATGTGTCATTATATATAATATATATATATATATATATATATATATATATATATACACTTAACTATTTCCAGAATTGATTGGTGCACTGAAAAACTTTTGAAGTTTTATGTTTCCGTAAAGTTCTAGTAAATGCTTAACACCCTGAAAATGAATGGCGTCAATACTGGGCCTAGCAACATGAAACTCATAACCAATCGCTAGAAATTGTTGAGGGCGAACCCACCGTTTTTTTTCCGTGAGAGTGTACCTTTCTTAGTTTTGAAACGGCAGAAGGGAGAGGGGCGCATCGAACCCCTCCCCTATCAGTCCCCGATGTGAAAAACGATGAATCACGGCGAGGATTAGTGCACCGCCAGTCGCATCACACCTCGCATTTACTACATCATTTTCACGTCACTCGCTTCCAGCGTAACGCGTCCGGATCAGCTTGTGTTGTGCACAAATCTACAGACATCAACGGACCCAAACGCAGACGCGGGAACAGAGAGAGGGGAGCGAGGGAGGGAGGGAGGAAGCCATGTCCCCACTTATTGGGAGTGTGTAGCTTTGATGCAAGATGACTGATGCATATGGGAATGCATGAAAAAATCGACTTCAAAGATGTCAATGACCCATTCACTTCCTGAGGCTTCCGTACGCATTTGGATTCAAAGGTCATCTTTTAGGCCCATTCGCCCCATTTGGCGAAATTATTGGTAAGCATAAATGTTCGTACAGAATTCCTTGTGGCATACTTAAAGAGCTTAACAGAGCTCTGAGAGCTCTTCCGCGAGGTCTCACAAAATGTTAAGTCAGGGACGGTCAGGGTAAAGGGGGGGGGGGGGGGGAGGTCACGATCCGCAGAAGCGCGCGAGGCGAAACACTGCCTTGGAGCCGCGCAGGAGCCGATGGCCAACGCCGCCATCTTCGTCTCTCCCTGCCGGTCCCGGCGCGTACCTGCCACGGCAGCAGCCGACAGCAGCAGACAGCCGACGAGGCAGGCGAAGACGTGCATCCTGCGAGCCCCAGACGGTCAGACGGTCAGACGGGCAGACGGGCAGGCGCTGGCGCGGCAGACGCTCCTGCAGGGGTCGGACGCTGCCGGCGGCGGGACAAGCGACTGCGCCGACCGCCGGGGGCCCCGCCGTGCAGGCGGGCGCGGTCCGGGGTCAGCCAAAGGTCGCCGACGGCGGCCAAAGGTCAGCGCCATTTTGTTTTGCGGGCAGACGTGGGAGTGGTGCAGTAAAGGTGACGGCGGAAGGCTGTGGCCCATCCCGGCACTAGCCAGTGACTCGCAGTGAGGCGACTAAATTAGTCATGGCTAGGTCAAAGCCCCTTCTTCCACGGGGCCCTCTTTGTCATTAGAATCGCCGTGGTTTTGGATTGGGCTACCTTTGCACGCTCGACAGCTTATTTTATGCCCGGCAGCCACTTTTGATGCGTTAGATGCCCTAAAAACACCTTGGCCTACGATAAACTGCAGGGGCACTGGTCCCGCAGTAGCCCCAGCCATCTCGAGGAAAGGTGGCCACCACCCCTTGGCCGCGCCCGTGGTGCTAGTCTATGGGGATGTTGGTCAAAGTCACTGATCAAGTGAGTCTAGGGGGTGTAATTTAACTTGGGCCACAGATTCATCCTACGTTTCCAGTGATTCATGTTATGGCTGGTGAAGAAGCCTCTGGTTTCATCACCGTGCAAGCGGACGATTCGTAGGGTGTACTTTGGAATGGCCATCTATCAGAACTTACCGTGCCTATATTATCCCGTTTGTACTCTACTGAAGATCCACATCGTATTCCTGAATTTCAGTTATCCTCAATTCCAAGTTCTTCATCCTTAAAACTCAAAGAAATTACTCGTTCGTCAACGTGAATGTCAGCACTTTATCAATCTTTGTGCGCCATTGCCGGTTTGGGGCGCGCCGACAGCTCTGACCGTTTCACCTAACGCGTCTAATGTCGGCCTCTTCATGCCCTCAAACGGTCCATTTCTACTGCGACGGATCGTGTAGGGTAAGAAGTCCCCTCGGAGTGCCTGGACGCGTCGCCGGCGGTGCCGGGACCGCGGCCCGGCCGTAGGGTCCGCCGTCGTGTCGCGCCCAGCAGCTGACCGCCTCTGACATCATCAAATGTCAGTCAGTTGAAAAGGTGACTGTCGGGCAGGAGCGCACCGCAAATGCACCTCCGGACGATCCCAACCGAAGCAGTCGCAGGGGTGGGTCGACCCTGGAGGCGTCGTTACGATAACGCATAAACGCCGTGCAAAATAGTGTTTAGGAAATACGTCCTAAAACGTGCTGTACCGTCTCTTCATGTTAACAACGACGGACCCTTACCACGAACCTTACGCAACATCTTTTTCCACGAATCTTAGGTAACAAGGTTCCGAATATTGCACGAAACTCACGGACGTCCCGGGTATTCAGGTTGTCACGCCCTCGCACCCGGTACAGGGCATACTGGTACGGGCTGCCCGCAACATGGACGGTTGAGCGTAAAGGCTTCGGTGACCCGTGCCGGGTATCACGACAGAAAGGAATCTTTCAGCGTGCATCGTTGTGCACCGCACTGAATGCCCATTGATTGATTTCTAAACGTGCATTGCCTTAATAATGTTTCTCCAGATCAGGAACCAAAATTACGTACGTGTGCAGCCTCGAGCAAAGGTCACGAATATGCCGCGTTTCTATTATAGTGAGGTGTGTTCGACCTCGAGCGAAGGTCACAAATGTGCAGTGGTTCTGATATCCTGAGGTGTGTTCGAGCTCCAGCGAGGATCACGGGTGTGCAGGGCCCTGATATCTTGGGGTGTATTCCACATCGAGTTAAGATCACGAATGTGCAGTGATTCTGATATCCTGGGGCGCGTTCGACCTCGAGCGAGAATCACGGGTGGGCAGTGGATATCCTTATATCTTGGGGTGTTTTCCACATCGAGCAAAGATCACAAATGTGCAGTGATTCTGATATCCTGAGGTGTGTTCGACCTCGAGTAAAGATCCCGAATGTGTAGCGACTGATATATTTAGGTTTTCAATGTCTTCAGCTGCCGCTAAAGTCCGTATTTGTTGCACTCTGCTCCATTGCTCCGAATAAGTCTATCGTGTGATCCCCTCGTGGTGTGTACGCTCCTCAAAAACCAGCATCTCCATGGTGTTCAGAAAAACGGTCACGGTCGCTGCGAATGGTTTTTGTTTATAAAATCTTTCCTTGCACAGGTTACAAGGGATCTTATAAACCACGTACATTCGTGTGCTTTTTCCCTCAGCCCATTCACACGCTTCTGGCGGATCCTACATACTCTCAGATGGGGTTAGGGCCTATAGCGCTGACCTTTGTAGCATGGGCTTGAAACATGAACTACTACATCTAGTCTAAACTTGGACAACAAGACCACTAAACCTGAACTTGACTTGGACCACTGGCCAGCGCTGTCCTAAGGCCAGACTGAAACGTCAAACTTCTGAAAGGTCAGGCTTGGTCAGTGGCCTTAAACGACCCTGATCGGCCCTTTTGGGAACATACCGCTTGGCGCATCATTACACAACTTCTGAATGAAGAATCTGTATTGACATGCATTCAAAAAAGTGAATTCACTTCCGATTTTGTTCGAGAAAGGCATGTTGCCGAAGTATCCACCTAACTATATCTCTACTCCCGTGGTTTTCCGAGGAATTCGGCTAATAATACTGTGTTAGTTACAAGTGAGTTCACATGAAGTCTAACCCACCCGGTGAATTTGTTGTTTTTCGCTCTTAGTCTTTAGCATTCTCAGGGGGAGCATTTCGACTACCACCCCTCCACCCCCTGAGCATGTTGTGCTCAACCAGCCACCAGAGCGCGTGATGCTGATGAGCGCGCGATGCAGCCACCAGGCTGACGCGGCATGTAATAACTGGTGCTACTTTTTGTTGGGGCTTGAAAAACGCTGTCTCATCTTTAATGTAATCAAACTAATTTACATCCAAACAAAAACCAAAAGAAAAAGCGATTTGTTGGGATGGGACGCGGTCATGCTGACGGCGGTTGGAGTCCCCGGTGTAACGGCTCGGGGACAGGAGGTCACTCGTCGCCTCGGGCAATGCCAGCGCTGCGCTTAACTCTGAACTCAGACGTGTTCTCGTGACTGCGGTCCCTGCGTCGCGATGGGTTACCTTGTGAATTGTCCGATGGTGGACTTCCTTCAACTTCGCGGTCGCGTTCCACTGTCCTCGGATGCCCTTTATCACCAGGAAATTGCATTTGAAGACTGGTGCAATCAAGCGGTTGCGGCCTCTTAGAGCGATAAAGCCAACGCATAACGAGTAATACAACGTCTTGTATTGCATGGTTCTGTGCGTAAGCAGGTTCAGCGGTTGCACCAGGCGACGAGCACCTGTGTTTATGAACAACCGGGATCAGTTTGTGCACGGTCCACTTTAGCAGCCTGTTAAGATACCCTGGTGCATCAAGTAAGGCAGGATTAAGAAGCTCGTTACACTCTTCGAATGAGTTACGACTGCCCAGATCTGTAGTGCTCATGTGAGCTCGGAAGCAAAATCGTACCACTTCGGTAACATCTGGACCAGTCAGCAGTTCCCCAAGCATGGCAGACGGCAAACGTCGCGTCTTCCATAGTTCCAGATCACTCAACGACAAAAATTCATAGTCCCAGATCACTCATCGACAAAGATCCATAGTCCCAGATCACTCATCGACAAAGATCCATAGTCCCAGATCACTCATCGACAAAGATCCATAGTCCCAGATCACTCATCGACAAAGATCATAGTCCCAGATCACTCATCGACAAAGATCCACAGTTCCAGATCACTCATCGACAAAGATGGCATGGCAGTGCGAGCTACCTACAAGAACTCAATCTGACACCGCTAAACACGTCTCCCATGCTCCAAACCGCGGAGCGCCGGTCAAACACTGCACGCACCGCAACAGCACGGCTACTCCCTCGGCATCGGCGCATTTGCAGGACCGAGGCGACTTCGGTTTTCAGGAGCCCGAGCAGCCGCCAACCACGGCTCTGTACCAGACACCCGCGCGTCGTGTCCCGAGTCTGGGGCCCTAAATGTCGTTGCAGTCGGTGGTGGGACGTCACGTCACGTCAGACGTCGCGTCATATGTCACACGTCACGCTTCATGTCACGTTATGTCACGTCACACGTCACGCTTCATGTCGCGTTATGTCACGTCACACGTCACGCTTCATGTCACGCTATGTCACGTCACACGTCACGTCACGTCACACATCACGTTATGTCACGTCACATGTCACGTCATGTCGTGTCACGTCACATGTCACGTCACATGTCACGTCATACGTCACGTCACGTGGGACGCCGCGTCACAGACACGCAGGGGCTGTGAGCCGGCGGACTCGGCAGCCGTGAGGGAGTAGCCACATCGGCCCTCTCGCCTCCACGCGGTCCTCACATCGTCACACGTCACACGGCTACATGCGGCCACGCGGTCCCGGGTGAGGCCCAGCGCTAGGCCGGCCGCCGACGTCTGCCGGTGCCGCTCTTCAGGCCTCCCGCGCTGCTGCAGGCGCTGGTGTTCGATCTCCAGCCCAGCTGGATTCCTGTCCCGCCGATCATTCCGACTTCAACGTGTCAATATACCTGCACTACTGTCAGGACGGTTCGAGTCCGGCGTGTAACCGCGACCGCCGCCCGACCGCGGTCCGGGCTACTGCTCCTGGCAACGTGCCAAGACTTGGACAGAGGACGCCGAAGCGATGCGAATCTTTGCGAGTCTTTGCGAGCCTTTACGATCCTTTCCACCTCAGTCGACAGCTCTGGTTGCGCGTGGGGAGACCGACCGCACCACGACGAGGCAGGTGTCCAACAGCACCCGGAAGTCGCAAGCCGCCATTGACACATTACGTGACACTCCACCTTCGCACAGCTTAAAGCACTGCAGGTCCGACTGCAAGTAAGCACGACTCCAAGGACGCCCAAACGCCGTCTTTCCGGCCCCTAACCGCTGATTGCCACGCGGCAGACACCCAAGCGATGCAGAAGCGCATGCGAGCAGCAGGCGCCGGTGAAGTGTGCTCTTTCCGCCGGTGACTTCTGGCTATACCACAGCCGGGCTTGTAAGAAGCAAGGCGTGACAGCGCGCAGCAAAAGCTGGAAGCTGGAATAGCCAGGGCGAGAACGTGCTAATGGTCCAGGACTCAAGCAGTCGAAATGCTGATGACAATGGCCAGGATGTGGGCTTATTGGAGGACGGCTAATACGATTCTGGCACATATGTTCCAATGACCGTAATTTTTTATGACACCGATGACGGCAGGATGTCACTACTACAAGGCGTGGAGAATGTCATCATATCGTCCATGTGTATTTAGCGTGCAGTTTATCAGCAGCCAAACACATCTTTTGGACATGCCCAGCTTCAAGTTAGCGCAATGATGCTGTCCTGTCGTTTGCCCCAGTACGGCCGTTGAAAATGCTCTTCCAGCCACTTGCTGTACACGGTGCATATGAGGGCCAGTGCTGGAGCCGCGGATGCCTCTGCCAATGCCAAAGCTCAGCGGGATGGGGACCGTGACCCATGACCTCTCGCGGCAGACCATGCGCTGGACTCTGACGGGGTCGCCGTCGTACGCTGCCCGCTGCTCCAGCGTCACACTATCGCCAGAAGTCGATGGCAGCAGACGTCCGTCACCGATTCCCCGACCTAGACGCGGCGCGGAGCTAAAACTCGAGGTCGTCAATGTTGCTGAGCTTCCTGCCGAAGATTTCAGCCTCGTAATTGGTCAGCTGCTTCAGGAAGTGGTACGCGGGCTGAATGGTGGGTCGCAGACTCTCCAAGAAGAAGTACGCGTCTTCCAGGGTGCAGCCCTTGTCCGCCATCAGGTACGCCAGGGTCACAGCGGCTGCGCGGTTCACACCCTGCGGGCAGGTCATGCACGGTCGGCTTACGATCGGTTACGGTTACGGTTACGGTTACGGTTACGGTTTCGGTTACAAATTTAAAGCAACGCCGATGCTGTCTGGGTCAATTATTGAATAGGCACTGGCGGTTCGGGGCTGGTAAGGTAGACTCAAGTGACATCCGACAGCGACCAGCACACGCCCGTAAAAGGTAGGTGTGGGATTTAAGGCGGACGATCTCAGGTCAGGCCAGATCACATGGGACCAGCTCACATGGGATCACATGGGACGCTATCCAGCCCAAGACCTGCGCTCATGCCAGGCTGGAACAGCTATCACACGTCCTTTCACAGATTGAATTAGAATAAGAAAAGTCCAGGGGTCGCTTGCGGCAGGCAGCCAGTACTCGTGTGAAAGGAAATGTTTCACGTTCAAAGATATTGAAGTATGCATCAGATGTAATGAAACACGCTCACTTATAACCGTGTCACTTATGACTTGTATGTGCTTTTGAAGTGGAAAAGACTGCTTTAGACAGCACAACATTCTGTTTAGAAAACATGCTTCTCAATGCGTCATGTCTTGATTGCGTCATCGCACCTTGCACAACATCGACTGAGAGGCAGTTTTGGCCGTTATGTCTGGAAATCGTGCTTACGAACGCCAGATATGAATGCCTAGACGACTACATTTTTCTTAGCCTTGATCGCTGCATGCCTTATGTAATGGCAGGGCTTGAATGACATTATTTTGACGGCATGAATACCAAAGTGGCTTTGAAATACTCTTCCCGATACACTTCTCCCATTTTTGCGGGCGTGTTGTCCAGCAACTAGAGGGGCTTAGGTCTTTGGGCTGGATTTTTGGGAAGAGCAGGATTACGAACAGCATCGAAAGGTGTTCAAGAGGGCTATTTCAGCTCAAGCCCCCATATAAATGTGGAGCACTCCCTTTAACGGGGCTCGTCCGCACATTTACAGGCCATCACCAAGCTCGATCTAAGGTCAGATCGTGTGCGGTCAGGTCAACTTGGAGATAGTGATCGCATAGTGTATGGCACGCGCAGCATGAGCGGTCATACCCGGCACCGCATGCAAGTCACGGCCTCGGAAAAGATCAGTCGGTGCAGCCTGAGGCGGTTGGGAAATCCAAACACTGCAGTTTCTGCACGTCACCCATCGTTCAACGTAATCAATTAGAGGGCCGAGGAAATGCACTGGCTGCGATGTAACCTAGAAACGTGTATTTTCTCCCTCTTAGATCCAGTGACGACGCTGTGCAGGTTCGCACGAACCACCCGGCGTTGGCCTGCTGTCTCTGCATGTGCAGTGATCGTGCACAAGCCCTCGGCGCCGCGTGGCCCAGACTCAATGAATCCCAATACATCTCACAATGAATCTTCTCACCTGATCACAATGAATGAGCACCCTACCGCCCGTCTCCAGCGCGTCCGTGATGAACTTGAAGATCCTGGAATCGATGCCATGACGTTACGCGTCGTGCTTGGCAACAACTTCATAGCTCGTCGTCCGTCTGGCCGCCATCATCGGCCGTATAGATGAAATGCATACATGATAAATAAATGAAAGAAAAATAATAAATGAAAATGTAACTAAAAATAATAAATGAAAATATAACTAAAAATAATAAATGAAAATATACATAAAAATAATACATGAAGATATAACTAAGAATTAAATAAAAGAATTAAACAAATAAATGAAAATATAAAAGCCAATCGCTGATCTCTCTCGCCGATCCAGCTCATCATACACGCCACATAACGACCCCGCTTTCAAGATGGATGACTGTGCACCTCCGGGGCGGTGCGCCGAAGCGGCACGTGAGTGATTGCATGACATGGCGCGACATTATCTCGATTCGGATGGTTGGAAAGTACGACCTTGCTGGTTAACTGCACCGTAGAATTAAACATGGCCGTGCTATTAACTTTTTACATTCAAGATGGATACACAAACAAACCGACGGACGGATAGCTGTGTCATGCAAAATATAATTGTGGGATGAATAGCTTCTGGCACGTAAAGATGGTCATTTATGTGAAAGCTAAAATCGGTTAATAACTGTCCTAGTGTTCGCTCCTACACGATATTTTTCCTAGTTCCGCGTATGATAGCAGGTATTGCATAAAACCGAATGACCCATTTTAAGCTATAGAAGCAGATCATTCTAATTTTGACCCGGCGTGACCACCCATGTTTTGCACATAAGTGCTATGCATAATTGTGTCTGTGCTATTTGACGGTGCTGTCAGAGTTAACGCAGCGTCACGCAGGCAGGCAAACGTCTTGGCACCCTTATAGATGATTGCTGCGTGCAATCATTCCATACTCAAATCTCTCTCAAATGAATCTTTCCACGCTATCATTTCTCACACTAGCACGCCCGGTTTTCCTCTGCTCTATCCCAGCGCCCCACTTATCCAATTTTGTTGCGGTCGCTGGCTGAGGACGACCACCTCAAGCGAAGGCCGACCCTGCTGGTGGGGGGAGGGGGGGGGAAGGGGGGGGGGCACCGCCGCTCGCCTCGGCAGGACGCTCAGCAGCTCCTGGTCCTCGGAGTCGCCGAGCGGCACCAGCAGGTAGCTGACGTGGCTGAAGACCTTCAGCTGGCTCATGTCCAGCAGGTTCACGATGTGGCTGATGCGCATGTCGTACACCACGTTGGGGTTGGTGGCCTGATCGGCCCTTCCCAGCATCAAGTCGTCCTCCACCAGTGACGGGTACCACTGCAGATATTTGTTCTTGAACGTGTTGATGGTCAGCACCTGAGGAACAGACGGTGGCACTTGTGTCATCGCACGCTCTTGGTCTATGCGCAGGGTCAGTGAAGTGGCAGGCGCCAGCAGAAAACGCCAATCTTCGCCTAGGTGGCAGTGGGGCCTGTGGAAGTTTTCTGGGGCTCCGACGTCTCAAACCAGAGATAGACGTAAGAACCCGTCGGCCAGCTACGTCCTTGGGTCGACGGCCCAGGGCGCAGTTCTAGCTCGAGGTACGTAACTGACTCGGGGCAAGGCTCGACTCCACTCCTGTGATTTGTGATCAAACCTCTGTGGTTTGAGCGAGGTTGTGGCCCTGGTAACATGGGAGGCCTTGACACTAAGCCGTGACCTCGTAGGTAGAGTAAAATTGCCCTCGCTCGCTTTATATAATGTCTTCTGTAAACTGTTTCAAGCAGGCCTATGAAACTACCGTCAGCTGTCATGCGGATATGATGTAGATCAAATAGCCTATGCTCATGTTATATGAATATGGCCAAGCCAGAGAGCCAATGTATCTTTCTTTGCAGCTTCTTCAGAACCTCATGTCTTCTTTGGGACTTTAGCTTTGAGCCCGGAAGGAGCTGCAAAGTGAAGCATAATGGCTTTCCTTTCAACATTTGTAATAGAATGCCCATCTTTGTTCGAAACCCACGGACGCATGACCTTTACTGATATAGTCACCTTGGAGGACCACATGTACGGGAACTTGCTCTCCAGCAGGTTGAAGCCGCCGCTAACGCAGACCGGCGCCAGGTTCTTCTCTTGGAGTGCCTTGTACGTGGCCTTGAGTTTCTCGGAGGCGTCATCCATGCTGGTTGAGTCGTCGTCGTAGAGCGCGATCGTGGTGAAAGCCGCTGAGGTCGGCCTCCAGGTCTTGCTTCCCGCGCCAGCGAGACATCATGATGTGCTTCCGGTTGTAGTCACGCTCGCATCTGCAACATGCGTGTCGAGACGTGACCGTTGGGCGTGCCAGACTGTGCGTGAAGACTGGGCATGGCAGCTGGACAAGACAGCTGGGTGCGACGGCGGGTGTGACGGTGGGGTGTGACGGTGGTGTGTGACGGTGGGATGTGACGGTGGGGTGCGACGGCAGGGTGTGACGGTAGGGTGTGACGTTGGGATGTGACGGTGGGATGTGACGGCAGGGTGTGACGGCAGGGTGTGACGGCGGGATGTGGCGGTCGGGTGTGACGGCGGAGTGTGACGCCGGGTGTGACGGTGGGGTGTGACGGTGGTGTGTAACGGTGGTATGTGACGGTGGGGTGTGACGGTAGGGTGTGACGGTGGTGGGTGACGGATGGGATATGACGGTGGGGTGTGATGGCAGGGTGTGACGATAGGGTGTGACGGCGAGATGTGGCGGTCGGGTGTGACGGCGGGGTGTGACGGTGGTGTGTGACGATGGGGTGTGACGGTGGGATGTGACGGCAGGGTATGAGACAGCCGGTTGTGACGGCTGAGTGTGACGGCAGGATGTTACGGCGGGCATAACCATCAGGCGTCGCAGTTGGACTCGGGATAGTGAGATTGCGCAAAGTTATTGGCTTTAGCAGTGTGGCCGTTGCAGCTGGATGTGGGTGTGGAATGTGGATGTGGAAGCTGGACGTGACAGTAAGACATGACAAGGTGACAGCTGAACCGAATGCGTGATTGACATCGTTAAGTTGTATGGCTCGTAATCCTATTCTAGCGAGAACACATGAATTCGCTTAAAAGACGTAAAAACGTACCTCGCTAAAAATACGTCAAAAGACGTCTTTTTACTGAGGTAAGAAGACGTGCATGCCATGTGCTGGGAACTCCCAATTTGAACATCAGAAGCCCATGACAAATGAAGCCGATGTGAAGCCATGTATAGCCATGTAAGCTGATGTATAGCCATGGTCTCAACGTGCAGAGTTGTATACACTGTAATCATATTTTCAATTTCCCGGATTGGATAGCCATATCATGACGCTTCCTACATGACGGTGTTCAAACGAATCGGCAACTACTAAACTCGATCAAGGTTGCCACTGTGGGTAGCTATGACTACTTTAGAGCAACATCAAACGCGTGGATGTTATCCGAAACTTGAGCATAATCTATGAGGCGCACGAATCAGGACAGCACAACATACTTGATAGGAAACAAGTGTTTTGTTCAAGGGTATCGGTAATTCGCTCATGACATCATGTTGTCGCATGTTTTGTCCATCCGTCATGTTCTGGCGTGCCTGAAAAGTTGGAAGACCTCGGGTCGCACCACGCTGCTGGCTCGCCACTCTCGAGCGCACGCTCGTACCGCTGCACATAAATTAACGTCCTTATATCACTGCCTGTATCCCCATCTCATGGATCAACAAGGATCCGTGCTCTGGGTCTTGAGATTCATGCCAGCGGTGCCTTATGAATTTCGCCGGACTGCAGCGATGCGCGACATCGCGTAATTCACTAGATTTCAACTGTATGTCACTCTGGTAGCTCGTAAATAACAAATACATGAATACCCCCTCCTCGCCACAGATGGCGCGAGGGGGGAGGGGGTATTCGTGAAGCGTAACGGAAGCGTAGCAGGGGATGGAGGGGGACGTTTCGGACAGCGTAGCATTGCACTCAACAGTGGATATAAGCATTGTGGACAGATTAATACTGACGGTCTAAATCGGCTTACAATATTTCTGTGAACGAAGCGGCCACTCCAAATCAACCTTCTGAGCTATTCAGAAGGATTTCGAGAAAACTGACATTACCAACAAAATCAGACCTGTCTGAATCCGCGTAAAGGTGCAAAAAGGTGGAACACTATCTTTAACACATTGTCACGAGAGCGGAGAGTGTTTCGCCTGACGTAAATCGTGAGTAATAGTCCATGGGCAGTGCCGTTATAACCCTTGTTTCAAAGATTTAGTCCCAGCCTTTGGAATGGACACATTTCCGCAATCCGGGCCAGCACCACGGCAGCGTTTGTTGCGTGAGCTCTGGCCCCGTCATGCGATAGCGAAATTTCAGGTCAACAGCAGTGTGTTGGTGAGCGTTTGATGCGCAGCGATGCTTGGAGCGGTCCGTCTTGCCCCCCTGACGTAACGTGACCTTCACGCGTCCGCTGCCGCCGGCCCAGGCCATCCGGTCAAGGGCAGCGAGAGCCTAGAGCGACTCGAGCCTGCGATTCCACGGCCAGGATGCGTCGGAAGGCAGGCGCTCTCACCAGTTAAGCAGCCGGGACAGACGAGCCCTACAGCCTAAAAATGAGCCACGCCTTTCTCGTAGATCAGTAGGTGATAAGGCAGCTGAAGCTTTGTCCACAATTGACGAGGCATGCATGATGTACGCACAACTCCGGCCTAGCGAGCACATCAGGTTACCTGCAGTCGAGTATGAGCAGGTAGTTTGGGTTGCAGATGTAGGGCGCGTAAAAGCCGTTGTAGTAGAGGTTGTGGAAGAGCTTGGCAGAGATGTAGCCGCCCACCTCAGCTTCCGCCTCCAGCGGCTGCGGCGTCCGCTTCAGCTTGTATAGATCGGAGAGGGCAGCTGAAACAGAGAGCTTAAAATGAACGCCGCGTACCACGCTTACAAGTATTGGTGCTGTGGCGGTTTGCAGCATTTGGAGTCACACTGAGCAGATCAGTGCATGTGCCACCAACACAAATTTCTCCAAAAATTCGTTTTGTTGGCGTACTCATCAACTATAAAACGGTGTACGCGCCAGTACTCAAACTCCCTGTTGAGCGCATTTCAAGTATTGCGATGTATCGATGGCCGAGTTCACTGCCCACGTTGTTTGCATGATGGTGTTCTATGAGCATGTACACTGACGGCTATATATTGCTAGCCAAAACACATTCCGAAGCAATGGAAAAATTGTTCGCGAGGTAAGGTTTTTTTTGCTGCATTGCTACGTTCTGAGCCGACAATGCAAAGAAATCAATAATGAATGAACAGCACCTGTCATGTGCAAATAACTAATCGAAATAATCATGACAACATAGAAGCAATGCTTGCTAACGTATCAGATTATCACGCTGATAGACCGAAGCACGTGCGTGAAAAAAGAAAACGATGCTCATCGTCGAATATTTATCACGACGTGCTACTAGTCCACTGTCATTCGAGGGCCGCCAAGCTCCTATTCCAACTCTCTCAGATCCTCATTCGTTGATTTCAGCATTGTTGCAAGCATCGAACCCATCCCGTCCGGTTTCCTCGGTTGGTTGGAGCGCCTGCCTTCCGACCCACGCGGCCGTGGCGGGTTGGGTTCGAGTCGCTTTGAATGCGCGCTATTTGCCCTTGACAGGCATGACCTGCGGCCGGTTGTGGGGGCGGCGCTAAATGTCAGTTAACGTCAGAGGGCAGGACGGACGGGGCCGACCATGGTGGCACGTTAAACTTTCGCCACCAAATTCTGTCGCTGATCTGGCATTGCGTGGTCGGATGATGGAGTCAGGGCTCACACAACAAGGACCGCTTAGCGTGAGCTCTGAACCAAAAGATCTATCCATTCAGAAGGTTCGAGCTTCAATTTTATTTAAGAGTGTGGGTGTGGCCAGCAGTCAAATAACACTGAGGTACGACTAGGAAATGCACCCGTTGTCACCACGCTATCGCCGCTAAACGCCTTTTTCTTCATCTTTTTTTTTACTCTATTGCTTTTTTACTCGCTCTATTCTTCTTGCTCCATTACTTTTTAGCTCCCCTGCTACTATGTTTACTCCATCGCGTTTTTCTCCAGGGATTTTGCACGCCTCTGGAGCCTCATTGCGAAACGCCGCCTTGCCGTTCGAGCCGGGCCCCATGACGCCAGAAGGCTAGCGAATGACTTAACGAAGAGACTCGGTGGGCCGTGCAGTGCACCCTTGTTCGTCCGCTAAGTCCCAGACAGCCAGCCGGTATGCTGACCGGTCCCTTACCCCGCCAGTCATGCTGGGAACTAGCGCGACTGGCGGCGTGACTGTGCACGGTTTGCGTGACCAAGTATGGGTTACACTGCTACCTATGATCAAAACCAACACCGGGGATGGCGTCACCAATTTTTGATGGGGGGGGGGGGGGGCGGTCGTAAAACCCTCGCAACGACAGCTGAATTTAAGATCGGCGACAACAGATACATTTAGCGACGGCGTTTTTGTACGTCTATCAATGCTACGCCAACTCCTCATGTGCTTTGTGATACACCATCATAAGACATGGGGAGGGGAGGGGGGGGGGAGGGCATGGGGACAGGGCACGGGTGGTGCGTAGGAAACGGGGAGGATTTAGGGGAGCTAGGGAGTTAGTTAATAGAGACTTAGTGACTGAGACCAACAGCTTCGTGAAAATTTAACGTTGGCCGTGTGGGTGCTGACTGGGGAGAACTAATCCAAATGACTATCACCCCCATGCTCGCGACCTGGACGAACGTCAGCTGCCCCAAGCTGGCGGAAATATTCTAATGCGGCATCGTAGCCTCTTCTCAAAACAGTGCATACTATCGATGTTTGTCCCTTATGTGGGGCTCCTAGGAGCAAAGCATTTTGGACGCTGGGACTTATTAGAGGGAGTGCTGCGCATTTTTGTGAGGTTTTTAACTGAAAAGCCATCTTGAAGACCTTTTGGTGCCGTTAACTACCTTGCCCTTCTTAAAATCTGAGGCCCATCGGTTTCTGAGTTATACGCCCGCGAAAATGGTGAAAGGTATAAGGGGGAAAGTGTTTCGAAGTCACAATGACATTCATGATGCCATACTAACGTCACTGAAATCCTGTCATTCCATAAGCCATGTGGTGATCAAGGCTGAGAAAATATAATTGTCGAGGCGTTCATATCTGTCGTTTGTGGGCGCGATTTCCAGATATAACGGCCGTCAATTGGCTCGCAATCAATGTGCAAGGTACGATGACGTAATCAAACCATGATGCACTGAAGAGCGTATTTACTCAACAGAAAAATGCGCTATCTAGAGCAGCTTTTTCCACTTAAAAAGTATACCACTAGTTACAAGTGAGCTTGTTTTATCATACCTGATGCTCGCTTCAATATCTTCAAGTGTGAAACATTCCCTTTAACAGGAATGTCCGTTACAAGGATAGGAACGTTGTCAAAAGTTGTACTTAGATTATGTCAGACCACACCTGAAGTATTGTGCACAAGCTTGGCTCCCATGCTTCCAAAAAGATACAGATAGGCTGGAGAGAGTACAGCAAAAGCAGCTAGGATGATAGATGTGTCTGGTAACTTATTATCTTATACACATGCATAAGGTGATAAGGTGTGTTCACTGATATGTTCACCAGAGAACACCCCATGGTAATTTCCATGTGTTCAAAGTGCGTTCACCTGATTTTTTCATGCATATGTTAGGTTCGTAGGTGAGCAGGCACTTGATGATCCCATCACCTCCCAAACCAGCGGAGAAGGAGTGTTGAAGGAGAAGGAGTGTTGTCAAAAGTTGTACTTAGCTTACTTCAGACCGCACTTGAAGTATTGTGTACAGGCTTGGTCCTCATGCTTCCAAAAATACATGTCTGGAGAGAGTGCAGCAAAAAGTAACAAGGATGACAAACGGGATTGGCAACTTCCCTTCTTGTACACATGCATAAGATGACAAGGTGGGTTCACTGGTGCGTTCACCTTATCCTTTCACGCATACGTTAGGTTCATAGGTGAGCAGGCACTTGATGATCCATCACCTCCCAATCCAGCGGCCAACTCTAGGCACAGAGTACATAGGGAATATGCTCCACCAGCGAAATGGCGGACAGGAATCCTTAGTGAGAATCTGCACACAGACTATATTTTCTCCCCAAGAAGGCTCATGGTACAGTGGGGCTGTGCCATCCCGTCCGACAATGGCCGAGGAGGCCCCCCCCCCCCCCCCCCCGGTGGCGCCACCTCCGACTTTCAACCTATTCCATTTCAGCGACTTATGTCACGACCAAAGAATTGGGACATCGGCGAGTACGCTCTGCTGAACCGAACAGATATACGTGTTGCGCGCATGGCATGCACGCATTGCTAGGCAATGCCCTACGAGTCTCGCAGATGAACTTCCGTTCTTGGCCAGCTTTTTGCATGCGCATACCTGTGCACTTGCATGCGCATCTGCATCTCATCGCATCTGCGCATCTGTATGCGCATACCGATTCAGCGAGAAACCGAAGAAAGGGAGCTTGTGTCGAGGCAAAGACGCTCATCACCTATCCACATGGCACGTCCGGGTGCTGGCGTTCAGCGTTCTCGGGATAGCGTGACAGCCCGCTACGATCACAAGCGGACCCATGGCCAAGCCAGTCTGAGCGCCGACTAACCAGAACTGTTGCCGCGTGGGCGCTTGGGCTGGCCTGACCTGCAGCGCACTTGCCGAACATATGTATGCGGCCGCCGAGCGACCCCCCATCATGCTAATCTCAGCTATGAGCGGCACATTGGCTTCAAGGTCGCGCCGAATGTCTTGAAAGACCTGATTGCAGGCTGCTGCATCGAGTTGCGTAATGTATCACAGTTGCAAATCACTGCCCCTTCGCCTCCCCGTTCGGTTAGCATGGGAGCGAAACATTTCAAATGGCAAGCGGCTGAAGACCGCGGCTCGGTAACAGGTACCGATCCCGGCAATCAGGCGTTGCAGCGAGACGAGACGAACTTACATGGATGGCAGAGAGAACGCGCAAAAGCACTGGCAAAAGTGAAAATAGACTTATGGGAATAGGGAATGTTTCATGTTTGAAGGTCTTGAGGCAAGCATCAGATGTGATAGAACAAGCTCACTTATAACTACTGGTATCCTTTTGAATGGAAAGATCGTTCTAGGCAGCACATTTTCTTTGTTTAGTTAATATGCTTTTCAATACGTCATTGTTTGTTCATGTCCCCTCATCTTGCACAACATTGTTTGAGAGCTGATGGACGGCCGTTATGTGTAGAAATTGTGCTCAAACGCCAGATATAAACGACTCGATCATTTTTTGTCTCGGCCTTTAGCGCCGCTTGGCGTATGAAATGGGATAATTTGAATGACGTTATTATGACATCACGAGTGCCAAGATGGCCTTGAAATACTATCCCGAAACAGTCTCACTATCTTCGCGAGCGTGTAGCTAAAAAACTAGAGGGGTTTGGGTATCTCGAAGGTTTTATCTGTGAACTGCGCCGAATTATCTTCAAGATGGCTATTTCAGATAAAACCCCATAGAAATATGGAACACTCCCTTCGATTCAGCACACTAACTTCATTCCTTTTAATATCAGCGGACACTCAAGGGCAGTCGTGCACAGACCACACAACCGCGTGCTCCGGGACATGTCCAATTATTTTTAACAAATTTCGGTACCCAGGACAGGTAAGAAAGTGGAATCAGTCGCACGGCAAAAGTGAACGCACTGTCTAAAAATAATTTCACAATCCCGGCACTGTCATCCCTAGATAGCCATGCCCGATACCATTAGAAGTATTACGCATACCAAAAACAGATTAAGAAGCCACCAATGAAGGGTTCTCATAAACCAGTCACAGAGAGAACAATGTTGCGATCATAAACGAGACAGATCAGGCCTATGGC